ATTCTTTGAGATAATGATGGACCACTGAATGTCTTTAAGATTATGACTCAAAATCTTCAGTTTTCCGTATCATTATGGAGTTGTTAAAGGACCATAGCTTAACTTCGGGGGACGGAAGAGGAACTTGATGAGGATGATAGTTATTAGCCACTTCGAACGAATGCCAATAATCCTATTTCTATGACTTTAAGAGGAAGGGGGGCCGGAAGCTAGGGTATGGGCTTGATGGGAATCGCTGTAAGTGAGTCATCCACGTCCCCGTCGTCTTCCCTGGGAGCTGCTGCAACTGCGCAGTCGCGCGTACACCACCCCAAGTTTCAGCTGAGCTGACGGATGCAGGGCGAAGGGCGAATATTCTGCGCCTTAAAACAGAACCGACTGACTAGGGAGGATACCCGAAACGAACTGAGCATATCCGTAAGCTCTAAAGTGGCAGCCGCGCTATCGGATCACGGCACAGTGGGCTAATCACTTGCTTGCCCGTCATTATGGATGTCACAACATGACACCCACAATGACGTCGCACGTGCTGGAGTTACTATGCAATACCGTCAGAAACGCAAGGAAATCTATCGCAGTACGCATTGGGACACCAGAAAAGCAACTGTCACGCTGATGTGAACACTTGGAGGTCTTCCGATTATCAGCAACATCGACTTATGACTTGCTGCAAGCCGGTTACTCACCACCCCAGCTGCTAGATATCAAAACGGAAACCCCCTCAGCCTCCAAAGTTGCTTAAGCAGTCCTCTCTCTGTAGACAGGTAAAGCACCAGGACTCGACTTAATGACCGCGGAAATGCTACAGGCCGATTTGTCTTCCGCTGTCGATGTACTTACGCCTTTGATTGAGAGGATTTGGATTGGAGAAGAACTGCCGAATGGCTGGAACAAGGGGCTTTTAATCACTGTGCCCAAGAAAGGCTATTTAAGTATAATAATGATATAGCTATTTAAGGATAATAATAAGTAATGCGATAACTGGAGAGGCATTACATTACTGTCAATCCCCTAAAAGGTCTCCTGCAAAATTATCCTGAACAGGCTATCGTGGAACCCCTTCTACGCACGGAGCAGGCTGGGTTCCGTTCAAACCGATCGTATAAAGACCAGATCACCACTTACCGTATCATACGAGTACTTGAGCAGGCATCAGAATGGCATAGGGAGATTTATCTAACCTTTGTCGACTTCGGAAAGGCCTTTGATACTTTGAAGTGGTCCAGTATCTGGTCCCGCCTTTTGGACATTGGAGTGCTGCCGAAAATTGTACGTATATTAAAAAACATATATAAATAATATATTTGTAAGGTGGCTCACGACGGCCTCATATCTGATGATATCACAGTACACGTGGGTGTCCGCAAATGCCGTCTGCTTTCGCCTCTTCTGTTTATCATTGTTCTTGACGGAATTATGCTTCGCATCTACAATAATGGGCGCCGCGGGATCAAGTGGGGATCATCCAAAAAAAAGAAGACTTGGATTATTCCGATGACTTATGCATGCTGAATCATACATACGCCAACATGCAAGCTAAGTTGAACGACCTTCGACAGGAGGCAGCGAAGGCAGGACTAAAAATTAACATCCGGAAGACTCAGGACATGCGTTGGGAATTTAACACCTATGCTAATAGGCACAGAGGCAGTGAAACGCGTCCACAAATTTACGTACCTCGGGAGCGTTGTGTCGGAAATTGGAGAAACTAAAGACGACATCACTTCACGGATTGCCAAAGCCCGAGTTACCTTCGCACAACTGAGACTTATTTGACATTTACGGAAACTGACCCGAAGGATTAAACTCAAAATCTTCGGGCTGAATGTCAATTCCGTGTTCCTCTACAGGTGCGAAACGTGGAAGGTAACAAAGAACATTTCACGCCAAATCCAAGTTTTTGTCAACCGATGTCTTCGTCGCATACTCAGAATTTTTTGCCCGAGACCATCTCCAACATAGAGCTGTTGGAAGGCAGCCACGAAAGCCCGATTGACCGACAGATCAAGCGTCACAAGTGGAAATGGATTGGTCACACGCTCCGGAGAGGTTCCGATGACATTCCTAAACAAGCATTGGATTGAAATCCTCAAGGAAAAACAAGGCGTGGCCGTCCCTGGCAAACCTGGCGTCGCACCGTATTGGCAGAAGTAGCGAGCATCGGACTGATATGGAGCGAGGTGAAGCGCATGACGTTAACAAACTTTGCATTAATTGTTTTAGACTGAAGGACGTTAAGAAGAATGCTTGTTACGGGCCTTCGATATGGCAGGCTGATATGGCAGGCTATGTGGCTTCGATATGGTCAGATGAGTATTGTGTGCTGTCATGAAAAATTTAATTTTAAAATTATTTGGAAATCAAGAACTCTACATGATGTCTTTGTTCGTCAATGAATGTTTTCGTTTGAACGTGTACCTCAAAATGCACTTTGTTTTTTTCGTCCTCGTTTCAATAAAGGGCGAATTATGAACAACTTACAATAAATGTTATCGGAAATCAATAATGTATTGTTTAGAAACCCTTTTTCGTTAAACCGGAGCCTAAGTTCTTGTGAAGCTATACAATTACGAAAACATACCACATTGGGTTTAAGGAAAGCACAAATATATTAGAGTGTATGCGTAAAGGTCCTCCTACGCGTTAAGTAAATGTGAAAAACGAGGGGCTTTTTACGTAGGTCGCAAAGTAACATTGACCCTAACAAAATTTAACGATATGTTTATATCAAAGGTGCTCCATAAATTTTTTCATGTTGAAGATAAAAATCTAAGAATTCGTAATAAACTGCTTAAGAAGAAGTGTACATTTTTTCCATTTTAACCTGTTAATATATATGTTTGATTATAATGTATGGAAGTATGTATCTCCAAATTTTCTTAAATTATAATCAAGGAAAACAGTGATAGAGGTTATTATTTTTTTAATGTGAGAAAGTGGCAAACGAGCTGGCGGTTCACCTGATGTTAAGTGATAACCACCGCCCATGGACATTTGCAATACCCGTAGGGTTGCAATTGCGTTGCTACCTATAAATAAAGTGGGCCCCGGCTACCTCACTCACCGGACGAAGCGCAGAAGTGTTACACTTCTACTTTACACCGATCTTCTGTGAGGTCGTGGTACTTACCCGTGGTACTCCCGGACGGACCTACCCATTCGTACAACAGCAAAGACTGTTGCGTGGTCCTACGACAGTAAATTACTTTTAAATAATCTGTTACGATTTGCGGACTAGCTTTGTTAAAGTTACCACTTATGATTTTGAAAAAAAAAAAATGTATACTATTGCCAATTTTTTTAACTGTTATACAGTTACAATGGGCAGAGGGAAGCGTTATAATTAAGCCGCGCTGCTTGTACGTAGGAACATGCACGCACTGCACTCATTTACATCATAATAAGCAGTTGACATTTTAAAATCATTACTCACAAAACACAAAACCACATGAATATACCCATCTTATTGTGTTCTTTATAACTGTGTGTAAGTATTAAGATTATTTTTATAGGTTTTCTAGTAAATTAACTACGGATGATTGAACAATTAATAAGAAACAGCAGAAACAACCATTCATTCCATTTAAATGTAAGTGATTTGTATACCACAAAAAATTAACAACATGTATAAAAATACAACATTCGTACATATTAACTATTTATTGTAAATTTAGAAAACGATCTGCAAAATTAAATGTACTTCAGAATACTATTTGGTCATCCGGTTTCATCATATTTCGAATTGCTTTTTATTAGAATTCGTTTTTTATTTTTAATCTTCATGCACAAAACAGTACATAGGCGGACTTAATGCTGACAGCATTTTCTACCAGTCAACCTTAGGGTGGTACTGAGAAGTTGAGGTAGTTGCACTAATACAGTTATAAACTAAAAAGAAAAAAATACATAATTATTAAATATAAAAATATAACACATAATATAATTGTTATAACATAATATAACCACACATAATATAACTGTTCATTGTCCTTACAATGAAGTAAAAGACAGTTATATAAAAATTAGCCCAACATAAAGGAGTTTATTTTCACAGCAGCGTTTTTCATGTAATTCATACAAAAAAACCTTCATTTAAAGGTCTATCTATATTTTTGTCAATTAAATAATGCAAGTGAACTTCTTTTACCATCTTGATAAAATAAATGAATAAACTGGTAGGTACCTAGAATAGTATTAATAAAGTGAAAATTGGTAAGTTTTGATCTCAAAGATTTAATATTTGTTCAAATATTGACGCCGTTTGTAGGTTATATAAGAGTTATTATATCAAGAATAGTATTTCGTTGAATTAAAGTCTTTGAAGTACCTTACTACCTACTAAACATGAAGCATTTTATTCCCTTCTCTTTATGTTCTTGCTAGCAGGGTGAAAAGTTGTTCGAAAATGGAATAGTAATTAATTACTATTCCATTTTCGAGTTTAGTCTTTCTAATTTGATATAAATATATAAGTTTTTTCTATAAGCTTTGTTTATTATGTAAAGACGAATGGTTTAATTCTTAACACATTACATGAACGAAGAGAAAACGCCCAAGGCGCATAATAATCACGGTTAAAAAACAACAGAATAAACTAAATTACTTATTTTCCTCGTTAATGCTTAAATAGTATCTATTAAATTGATTTCATTGGGAGCTAGCAATAAAAAAGGGTTTAATATCAAAATATTTATTTTACAATAAAATAGATTTAAATACTCTAATAACAACATACTTAGCTAATACTAGAAGGTCACTCTCGACAGCTTGGCACTTTAAACATGAATCAGACCTACAACACTTTTCTAGTATAATTTAAAACTAGATTTATCAAAAAATCTCTAGTATCCTTGTAAAACCAAGGAATAAATAAAACTAAGAAGTTCCGAAATACTGCAAAAACAGTTTCGAATAATCAGTCGAGTAACACAACTGTCACAATGAATACAATACTGCTATGATAAATGTCTGAATGAGTCTAATACCATCCATTAGACTTACACAAACACTGTACTAATGCTTACTTGCGGCTTTGGCTTAGTGAATAAATTAGAAGCTGTTTTGAAAAGACTAATGAGGGGCCTGAACGTGGAAGTTTGCGTTTTGAAGAGGGTTTCTGGCTGTCTGTATTGCAGCTGGTACTGGTTGCTGTATTGATTGTAGTACTGGTTGCTGAACTGATAGTTGTAGGCTTGATTATCCCCAGTGCTGTCTGGAATGACATTCGAGATGTAGCTGTTGGTATTGTCGACCGTTTGATATGCAGACGCTGCAGTGAAACTGGCCGCTGGAACGGAAAATAACCAATTAGTCGAGTGCTGAACACGAACTTAAATTGGTTTTAGAGGTAAGGAGGTAATCGTCACATGTGAAAATCTTGCCAGTAGTTGATACTTACAACAAAGACCGGAATATTTCTTTGATTCCGACAGTCCATATGTACTGCAGGATGGATAACCCTTTTCGTATGGGTTGGATCCTATAACATTTCCACCGGGGCCGTAGTTACAAACATAAAGCTTGGTGTAGCCTTTCACGTTGTCGTAATAGAACGTGAAACCGCATCCCACGTGTGATGTTTCACCCCAAACCAGCTGGAAAAACAAATTAATTGAGATTTCTTCCAATCGTTCAACTAACAAAATATCAATAGCCCGTCGATTCACCAATGATATAACGAAACAATCATTCACAATTATCGTTAAATATTTAAATGGATACCGGAGAACAAATATTGAATTTTTTTCTCACCTGAGAGTAATGACCGGTGCCATGGCCGCCGGTGATGGGTTTGAACCCGTAAATGCGGACTTCGTCGAACCATGCGTTGATCTGTTTCATGAAGTCGGGTTGTGTGTCAGCCGGCTCAGAAGGTGGGCGAGTAGTCCACGTTGCTGCCAGATTCTGGCCCACGGGGAACCGTCCAACGTCACGCTGTGCGGCTCTGTCGTGGGCTGGGGTGCATTGATCAGCCCAACGCTGGGCGGTAGCTGCCAACTCATCATCCCAAACCTGCGAAATGGTCCAGATATAGTTGCGCTCGTAGAAATTTCGGGTAATTGTCCAAAGTGGCCACCATTTATGTTGCCGGTATTGTTTGATTTTTTATTCGTTCAGCTATTAATTCACGCGACTTTTGGGATTAGTGAAGAGCACTTGTTTTAAAATATGCTCACGAGTACTTGTGATCTTTATTTCGTTTGTTTATGCTAAACGACACACTTGTCTTGAAATCATGAAATCTTCAACTAATATTTACAGACCACAATGTGTTGATAAAGCATGCATAACTAAAAGATAACCTTGAATTCTAGTCAATAATATGAGCAAATAACAAATAATGAATAGAAGTGGTTTTCTTCTGTTTAATTTTATTTAAGTTATTGGTAATGGTGTCTGATTTTATTTTAACGCTGGCCCAATGGACTTATTATACCACACACAAATATTGAATAATACTTTAAGATGTATGATGTAACATTTAATAGAAAAGATAAATATAAACCAACACATAATTAACATAAAGGTTATGTATATAGATACTTCTATATTCACTCAAAATCTACTCAAGAGCGATGATGTAATATGTATATATTTATACATATTCATTTAAGTAACAAGTATAGCTCTTGAATAGAGCTTGGACAAAAATAGTAAATACTTTAAAGCGGAAAACTATATTATTTATAATTCTCACATTTTCATTTAATTTTCAAACTAACCATTTCCATCATGTTAGCCGCTGGTGGTTGACTGGAAACTTGGCCCAAAGCAACCGATTGTCGGAGTCGATTGTGGGCGTCCACAATGGCTTGCTTCTCATACGCTGTCAGTCCTCCAGACTCTAGAAGAAGAAAGTAACATAAGATTCCTCTTATAACGTGACTTCTTTCGACTGAAAACGTATAGGAGCGTTCGATTCGTCACATATATTTAAACGACAGCTTCAATACCAATGATGAAACTCAGTTTTAAGATCGCGCGTCTAAGAGATTTAATCATAATCCGTTTCATGTCACAATCTGTGGGATTTGCCTAATTTATTAGTGCGTGTTAAACAGGTGTCTAAATCAATAAAATTTTACGATGTAGTTTTTCGACTTATACGGGTATGTTAATAGGTGATCGACATTTTTGGATGGAACAAATTGGCAGAACCCAGACTAGGTGGCGACGAAGAAATTTATAGTTACTGAGCGCCTGCTAAGTAAAAGCCAAGAAATTTTTAATAAATATATTTTTATAAATTTTTATTAATTTATAACATCTTTTGAAATTGTTACCGAGGAAATAAACCGAAAGGGAGAGAAATCGGTACAGCCAAAAATTTTGATCTCATGTAACTAATCTTATTTAATGACGATTTTAGAAACATTAAAAGTTAAATAATGTTTATTGCTAGGGCCACGCAGCAGTCTTCGCTATTGCACGAATAGGCTGGTCCGTCCGGCGAAGTACCACAATCTCACATACATCTGCGTGAAGTGGAAGTGTAATATTTGTGCATCTCAACTGGTGATTGAGATAATCAGGATCCAATTTATTAAAATATAACGCATTTACAAGCCTACTGAAGTTCCAACAGTTCAGGGCCTGCGGTTATGACTTAACACCAGGTGAGCTGGTCAATTGTCATCTTTTTAACAAAAATAAGCAGAAATTAAAAAAATAAATGACTTACTTATTAGTTGCTTGCCAGCGCCACAACTCTCTGTTGCCGCGAGGAAAGCTCCAAAAACAAACAACACTAGAGCCATCATTGTGCTCATCTAAGTCTATTCACTACACTTTTAATTACGTTCTAAGTTAATTTTCACGAAACTAAGTTGAGATTCGTAACTAAAGTGAACACTTATATTTACGAAACGTCAATCTTGTGAAGATGTCTGCCGGTGATCCGCTGCACAGCGTGCGGCGCGCTCTCCGGATTTTATCAATCTGTGCGAGAACCTCTGAAAGGCTCGTTTAAATAGTCTCCGCTGCGTTACCATGGAGACGAAGTGACGCCTCTGCCCGTCTCCCGACATCGCCGCACCAGCGCTCGCACGCGACAGACGCTACCACAGCACCACCACTATTTCGGATCGACGGTTATAGCCTTGTATAATTTTATTTTACCTAGCCGTATATTTGCTCGATATTTTTTTCAGAATTAACGCGAGTTGAAAAATATTTAAATTGTGATGTATTTATTTCGGGGGATCGTCCAGGGCCTTCAGTTACGGAGTAGAGAAAGGTTAAAAGGGACTCCGTTCGGGCACTTTTTATCCGGTGCAATAATTTAAAACTCATTATGCTGCACCCGCTGGCTGTCAATGAAATCGAGTTCTTGTGATGTGTACAAGCCAAACGTGGAAATATGTTGACAGATATTGGCCGGGCCGGAAGTGGTTTTTAAGTGAAATTATAGGCGGCTGAAAACAAGGAACGAGAAATGTGCAATCAACCTTTTTTGTGTCAAAGGCTACTCAATTTTACGGCTCTTATTTTATAAGGAGACTCGTTGGTATCCAATTAATTTATTTTAAGGTCTTACGAACAAGTTCCCTTTATAATATCTTATTAAACCAACCATAATACTAAAATTAAAATTAGAATACCATGAGTTTTGCCTTGAATTTAAATAAATATTGGTATAATATTGAGTACTATTTGTCATGCTTAGATTGTGTCAATATATTAGTTATCTTCAAATAAGTGTGTATATATTCTCAAATAGCTGTTGCGTTATAGTAAGTACTTTAGTGATGAAGAACAAATCAATTAGGATGTGCTATATAATTTTTATGAAGTACTAACATTTCCCCAATAAAAATTTTCTTGCATTTCCATTCGCAATTTCGAGGTCAGCTTCAATGAATGGCGCTAAAAGTTTTCAATCCTCATAAAGTCTTCAAGCATAATAAAGTATAAAAAGTTGATTTGATATTATATGTAAAAGAAAGATGTTAATTAATAACTTGATTTTTCTCGGAGACGACTTGTCTGTTACCGACCAATCCGGTTTACCACCTGAGGTGAATTTTTGCTCGTGCTTTTAGCAATCTCAAATCGATAATTTGCATTTTATTATGTTTTATGTTACAAAATTTATTTTGCTGCAAAAAGTTACTCGATTCTTGTTCTATCTTAGAATTTAATCCTACCTTTTATATTTTTGCACTGAAAGGTACTAGGTATAACGCACGACACTGCGACGCTAGAAACGCCAAATTATGATATATAAAAATAATAATTTGTAACAGAGACGTAGTCTTTTAGAAAGATACGACACGTTTAAATTCAATACATCTATAAAATATTGCATGTATAATTCAAAGTAAATATTAATACTAAAACATAAATAACAATATTATGATTGATTGACGTAATTAATTATATACGCTTAACATTAGCCCACCACTATGGATTGTTTCAACTTTAATTTAGAAATTACCATTTTTAAATTGAATCATCACATCATAGTGTACGGATGTAAGAAAATAAAATTCTTATATTCCCCAAAATGCTGTCTATCTTAAAAGTCAAAGCCTGTTAATTTGACCTTTAAATAAATGGACTTATTATTAGAAGATTAAATAAAGAATTTAATGTATTCTAGCCCACCATCCCAATTTAAAAACAATCGATCAATTTAGGATACAGTATTATATTATATACTAGCGACTAAAGAAAGAATTTGGTTAAGTACAATAAGGCGGTCTTATTGCTAAAGATCGATCGCTTCCAGACAACCGTATCCTAAGGAAAATTAAATTAAAGAACAGTGGCAGCTGGAAGAGGAAAAAAAACAAGCACTCATTGAGCATCATGAGCATCATGAGCATCTTGAGCAACAGCATGAGTTTAAAAGAAACTGCTATAATACCGTCCACGGCATAAAAAAATTGCTTTTTGTATTAGTGGTTGGGTGGCTAGATAATAGTCGCAAATTTCGAACGGTAATAATGCATATGGAGTTGTGGCCTGGCAGACAAAGTGTCTGCCGGGCGCCAATGCGATGAATAAATCACTGCGTTGTTATACTTATACTTTTACGTTTACCATTATCTCTCCTTCAGTGCTTTATAAATTACTTCGAATGTCAACGCCAGGTAATGTCAGTTCAGAAAATATCGATGTGTGAGATCCTGAAAGCATCTTGGAGATTTAATGTGAAATACATTACATGTATGTTGTTAGAACTAACTGTAAACAATATATCCGAATGCTTTAAATTAACTTTCGTAAATTTACCATTACATTTGGTTTAATTATTTGCGCCCTAAAAATTATTCTATATAGTCCAAATTCACTAAATCTGGAAGTGGTACTTTATAATTGTGAAAAAACGCCGCGAGTGCTTTTTGGGTGTATTTAATATATAACAGGTTATATGGTATCTATATTTAAGTTTGTGTTAAAGAATTGCTAAAGTATCAAGATATTAAAAATCAATATTGGATATTATACAAATGCTGTACAGCAAAATAATTTATCGAGAAAACGCAGCAAGCTTTCTTGGTACCACCAAGCCTCGGTCTCGATATGTTAGAACTTACCCTTTATTTAGTCTTTGTATTTAGTAATTTCTTTTTTTAAATAAAAATTGTAGTAATTAATCAAAGCTTTTTGGATAATTTTATTTTGTTTGTATTATTTTTTACATGAACAAATTTTTGACAACTACTAATTAAAAACTATTTGAAATTTTAGAGTAAATAATAAAATGAACATTAATTTTAAGGTAGAAACTATTTTATGTATATAATTACTGTACATATGTGTGTATGATTGCGGCTATTTACTCCCACATTCGTTTGCCTTAAAACAACACATTACATCCTGCTAAGACGACGTTCAAATATTTTATGACAAAACTGCCTATTAATACGGTAATATTCGAAATTTTTTCATCAACGTCATTCATTGATTATCTTATACAAACTTGGCAGAATGTCGTTGGATTTTTGTGTATTATTTATAAATGTTATAAGCCAAATTTAAAATAACCGATACTTACATTAGCTACTTCAAATTTCAACCGTCAAATACCTACCATTTTAAACTAAACGACATACATACGTATGTCGTAATATTCCATAATATGCATATGGTAATGTAAGTCGCAATTACTTTATGTTTTAGTAAAAAGATTATAAAAAAATCTTTATCAAATAGTTTTTTTTGTATAATTTAATCATGATATTCCATCCGCCGCCATACTGTCTCACAATCTAGCTTAGCAAACATATTATTTTAATCTAAGCGATGTCACGATTGATGAAGGCTATTAAAATGGACACGTTAATTAATTATTCTGGAAAGTATCAGCCATTACGTGATTCTTGTTTCTCTCTTTCGGTAGATCTTAAAGGAAAATGACATCATCTAAATTAAAACATCTGTGCCATCATCTAAGTAACAAAATGATCGTTAATGTTTAAGATAAGATTGTGATGACCTGTAATAAGTTACTTATCTTTACTCTTCTTTCGTTACAAGTAAAGTAGAAAAATAGACAAAAATGTAATGAACATGAGACGATTGAATTTTCTTAATTTTATGTACTAATCGTGAAATATGAAAATCAATTTAAATGTATAAATCAATATCCTAATTCGACAATACAAAAATGAGCGATAATATCAAACCATTTACGTAATAAAATATTAAAATTCCCCTACAAAATTAGAACTTGTTTGTTTATAAATGAAAACAATATGGCAAATACTTTTATTTGCTTTTATTGTACATGTTGATAAAAACGACAATATAGAAGTTAATTGTCCTTTGGAATGGAATGAGCAGTAAAACTGAATATTTCATATTTATTATCAGTATATACTTTTGTTATATCAACGAGGTCTTTATTAAATACTAACCGGTACCTGCGATTTTGTCTGAATTTCTTCATCATCATCATTTCAGCCTGTTAGAGCCCACTGCAAATATATGTTCCCCCACAGACTGCCACGATCCACGACCCTGAGCTACCTGCATCTATCGACTTCCTATACAGCGACATATCGTCTTACAATGCGATGGCAAGAACGAGGCTGCCACGAAAGAAAGTTTCTTTCGCATTGATTATCATTTCTTTGAGCTAAATGAACGGCCCATCGCCAGTTCAACTTATTGATCTTCTGAGTTATATCTGTTATCTTTGTTATTTTGCGTTATTTTCGTTTCATAATCTATCTCGCAGAGAAATACCTAGCTTAGCTCACTGGGTATAGCTCTCTCTGAGTGACTTTGACTGGACAGCAGTAACTTCAATCGTGAAGGAACACGACTCAATTCCGTAGGTCATAACTGGCAACACACATTGATTGAAGACTTGTCTTCATACACTGAGGGATATTCGTCGAGAAGATGCGCCCCGAAGGAAGCCCATCCGAGTTGGATTCGCTGATTGACATATCTGCGTTGAGCTTACCTAACCGGACTAACATACTCACCAACAAGTCCGAGCCAAGTGGTTCCGATAACAATCGTACAACGTGGAAATTTGATATCTTCGTATCGTCCATGTCCATTTTTAGGAAATTCGTAGATTCAAGGAAGTTATAGCGTACTGACAGAAAACACCATTGAGATATATAGTGATTGCATATGATTATTGCCAAAAGATTATTTATTTGTTATTTATTATAAATTAAAGTAAATTCAACTTTATCGTAATGTTCGTTATGAATGATTGTGAGTAAACTCTTATCTGTAGTTATTTTCATTAATTGTAAGATATTCAGGTTTTCTGATGTGATGATTTGTGGATTAC